ATGATACATGATGATGATGATGCATGATGATGGTACATGCATGATGATAATATGCTACATGATGATTTGATGACAGTAACACTGATACTCATGTCTCGTTAGGTATCTGGTCACATGGGGATTATTGTTCCATTAATTCTAAGACTGGTGGAATCTTAATGCTTGGAAGAAGGTACTTAATTGATTCATTTCATCTAGGGTATATTATTGGACGAAAGAGATCCTGCCCGTCATATCCTTTTGAGGGGGAGGGGAGGGGGGTTAATAAAGGTTTCGGTGGACAAATGATCACTAGTGCAAAAACCAGTTGTCTTCCCCGAGGATGTTCACTTAGCGTTTATTCCATTCTTACAGTGACGGTACACTTAATCCAAACGGTGTGCGTTTTGGTAGCGCGGAAATCTATAACATAGGTATGTATCGTTATATTAAAGGATAAAGCTCTTAACTGTTTTGTCTCTCGACATGGCTTCCATTGTATCAGATACTAGGAGTTAAATAAATCAATATGTTGTTTTGTTGTCAGTGGAACGATTCGATGAAGTAGAGGACAGTCTATGTGTTGGTCAGCAGACTCCCGATGGCGAGAGGGTGGTTCTTTTTCTTAAACTGGTCAGCGGTGTAAGGTAAGATCTACGCCTTGTTGTTGTGTTGATCGATATAAAACTTACGCTGACACTATAGAACAACGTTTGAGCATGCGTGTAATTTTAGGACATTGTCCAAGAATTTTCGAAGAAGAAAAAAAGAAAAGAAATCTGAAAAAAAGAAAGAAAGAAAGAAAATGGGCGTAAACTCATTTGCGATTTTTGAAAAGAGAGTCCTGTTATTCTGACTGCGCATGCTCGACGAAAGTCCATATCGTCATTCTCGTATGTAAATTAAAAGTGACTCTTATTCTGTACCAGGTTATCAGACGAGCTAGTTCTCAGGACCAAGACATTGATACGCGGCCAACTGTCTGCCCGTCACGTGCCAGCGGTCATCTTAGAAACCAAAGAAATCCCATACACCACCAGTGGGAAGAAAGTAGAGGTTGCGGTCAAGAAAATCATATCTGGAGAAACGGTTAATAACAGAGGTGCCTTGGCTAACCCCAATTCACTCGACCTGTACTCAAATATAACGGAATTGAAAGTATGATTTGAACGGTTTTAAATATACAGATGATGAATTAATAAGGAATGCGAGATATGCATGTTTCGCCATTTTGGAACACAATGTTTTGCCCCATACTAGTCATAATAACGTGGGTATAACGTAGAATTAATCTTATGCTTTGAATTGAACTTCAAAAAGAAAGATAAAAGGGTATAAAAACTGCGCAACAAAAACAATAATACTTTTGATGTTAATATTTGCTATTAATATATAATATATATTTTTCAAACCCAGTCACAATGCGAATGCTATTCCTACGTAACGCTGATTTTGTAATACTATCACATGACTAAAATGCGTTTAACTTTTATGGTAATGAGGGGATTCTGGTTTTTACTCAGGGAGGGGTAGGTTCATTTATTTATTTTTTTGGTATATATATGGCTTGAAAATGAAAAGGTGAAATAATGAATTAAAAAAGCTTTTATAAAGTATTCCTCCTTCGTGACAAGGTTATTTCAAATGGTATCGTAATTCATGGGATGTAATATTCGTCATGTAGCATCTAGATGGTTGTACGATGTCATTAGATTATGACGTCATACTCACGGACAACAATGCATTGCGCTCCTACATTTCAAAATTTTTAAAAATTTTAACTGTAGCATCATTTTTGGAATCGTTTTACGCGAAATTAAATTTTCTGAATAATTGCTTTAAAACGCTTTAAAACTTAATTTTTGATAAGCACTCGTATAAGGTATCCTTATGACGCAGCACCTTGTTTGAAAGCCAGAATACGCAAGAACGTGACGTGGAAAACGTGAAACATCATCGCCAGTCTAATCCTTGTAGAAACGGTAGCTCAACTTTCCCAAGGGAACATCAAGATAAGCCGCTTTTAATCTTAATTGCAGAAGGCACTCATTCCAGCTGCAGGTCAAACCAGGGAGTTATCAAGTCTAATTTTAAGTTTGTAAGAATTCGATTTCAAGTTAATCTAAGAAAGACAAATAACCTAGTGAAATGTAATGCGTTAATAGCATGATGTTGACGAGTAATAGTAGCCAAGAGGTAGAGAACATGTCCATTTACACGTTGACTCTAAAACACAATAGAAGAACTTTTGAATGAACTGATGATTCGTTTGTTAATGGCTTTCCGTAACCCTCATAGTGGTTCATTCCTTATGATAGTCTTTTGCTAGCCTCCATGAGTTCTTTTTCACTTATACTGCAGCGACACTTAGGTTCTTTGGAAGTGGCCTTCATTTGTGGTAGGATGAGGAGGAGTGTTGTTGCAAAACCAGGAGCTCTTTTCAGCCAAATTCCCACGGTCTTGGTGCAAGGTGTGTTTAGAAGTCTGGGATGATTATTATCTCAATGTACAAGATAAAGCAGGATATCATGGAATTTAGTTATCGCTTATGGTAGTTTTTTAAATCTAAAATACCGGTACAGTAAGGATCGCCGTGATTATCGAGGTCAGATAAGCAAAAGATAAAAACAGAGTGGACGCCCACAATACCGTAACCTGTGTAACCAGGCCAACAATACAAAGTATCTTGGTAAGGTCCAGACATGTAAAGGTTATGGAAATTGAGAGCGTTATCATAGAAAGACGGCAAACAGAAGGGGATAAATTCTGTAAACGAGGGGGGTTAAGGAACTCATCACCTCTGGAAATGATATTTCATCTTCGAAACTAAAAGTCAAATTTCATCAAATAATGCCGCTAAACAACGTATTTGTGTATAGAAAGAGTCACCACAGACACCCAGTATTGTGCATGTCAACTGGTCTCTTGAGGGGGAGGGGGGCAGTATTGAGCATGTCAACTGGTCTCTTGAGGGGGAGGGGAGCAGTATTGAGCATGTCAACTGGTCTCTTGAGGGGGAGGGGAGCAGTATTGAGCATGTCAACTGGTCTCTTGA